ACTTGATCGTTCTAATGTGAAACTTATACTTGGACCAGGAGGCAGTCGTCAGAACAGAGCAAGGGAACACTGCATGGTTCAAAATTGGGAAGAAAGATGATAGAATGTGGAAATTATTGAAAGATATCATTAATGTCAAATGCAAGCAAAATATTGCTAAAGATCATTAAAAAAAAAAAGGCTAGAGCTGTACATGGCTAGAGAACTGCCAGAAGGTCAGGCTGGGTTCAGAAGAGGCCAGACAGACACCAGGAATATCATTGCTGATGTCAAATGGATCATAGCTGAAACCAGAGATTACAAGAACGCTTATCTGTGTTTTATTGACTATGCAAGGGGTGTGGATCATAATAAATGAATGCTAACCATGGAGAAGAACAGATGTTCCAGAACACTTAACAACACTTACACAAAACCTAGACCTATACCAAGAAGCTATTGTCTGAATAAAACAAGGGAACATTGCATGGTTTCAAAATCAAGAAATGCTCATCCCTCTGCTTCCACCCTCTCCCACCCATCTTGGATCCTTATACTCATTCTACAATAATGGTTTTATACAATATTTATTCTTGTGGGACTGAGTTAGTTCACTCAGCATAATGCTCTCCAGTCTTTCCCAAACTAGGTAATAATTTACAAAATCATTGCTCCTGTGTGCTGCATAGTATTCTATTGTGTGAATGTACCATAATGTCTCAATCCATTCGTTTGTGGTTGGACATTTGGGCTGTTTTCATGTTCTTGTGATGGTGGGGGAGGGAAGGATTAAATCATGGAGTTGTACAATTTGGGGGGGGTGAGGAAAATTGAAAGAATCTGTTCTCGAAAACACTGTTCAAATTTTGTAAATAAACAAGTATAAAATTTTTTAAAACTTTTTTCATATATGCCTTTGGAGGAATACCAACTGCTCTTACACAGAAAAGTGTGTAAACTGTAAAAAATAATATCAAGGAATATATGCATCAGGGTTGTAGCCTTTCTCCATACTTATCCAATCAGTATGCTGAGCAAATCATGAGAAGCAGAACTTGATGAAGAAAAATGTAGTATCAGGATTGAAGAGAAACTCAACAATCTGCATTATGCAGATAACACACCCCTAACATCCCTCTGAAAGCCTGGAGGACTTGAGGCACTTGCTGCATAAGATCAAGACTATAGCTTTCAATATGGATTACAACTCAACATCAAGAAATAAAAGTCCTCACTATTGGGCCAATAGGCAACATCATGAGATGGAGAAAAGATTTAAATTGTCAAGAATTTCATGTTGGATTCACAATCATTACCTTTGGTACCAGTAGTCAGGAAGATATAGAGTGTAGATGTCAACCATTGGGGGAAGACTTCTGTCAAACACCTAGCCAAAGTCCTGAAGAATAAGGATGTCAGTTTGAAGACTAAGGTAAGCCATGGTCTTTCCAATCACCTGTTATACATCTGAGAACTGAACTATGAATAAAGATGGCAGAAACAGCAGCAATGCCTTTGAGCTGTGGTGCTGGAGAAGAGTACTAGAATATCCAATGACTGACAGAAGAACAAACAGATAATGTCTTGGAGAAGGTCCACCAGAGTGCTCATTAGAGGCAGGTTTGGAGAAGCTTCATTTCACATACTTTGGACATGTTAAAAGAGGCTATTCCTTAGAGAGGGCCGTCATGCTTGGAAAGACGGAGGGACAGCAAAAGAGAGGAAGCTCTTCAATGAGATAGACTGATACCTGATTCAGTGGTACCTGGAACCTAACACCACCACCACTATCCAGTTACAGACAGGCTACATCTGTGCCCTGAGCAAAGTACCAAAGTAGCAAACAAGCTTCAAAAGGCTGACATTGATTGACAGGTCTTATAGGGCTGCCTGCTCTGACTGCAGCCCTGGCCTCCCATCTCAGCCCCTAGAAACCAACACAGGTTTCCTAAATCATCATCAGTTTGAATACAGATGATCTGACCCACACTATACCTCTCCAGAAGAGGACAACAGGAGAGGTGGAGCGGGGTACACAGATGTGAGGGTGTGGGTCCTGATGCTGCAGCAACTATAGTTGACTCCAGGCTGGTTCTCAGACTTGTAGGCCCTGCAGCCTGGGCCTCCAAATGTGAAAAGGTTCCTGCTGTGTTTCAACCACATACAGCCAGTTTAACTATTCTAACTCAGTTCTGCTAATATTACTAGTGTCTCAGAATAAAGGCCCTGTGACAGCTGGCTGTGCCCATCCACAGCCTGAAATTCTACTGAATAAAGATCTATTGTGAAGCCCCACTACATCAGAGACATTTGATCTTAATGAAAAAGAGATAGTGTGAAAGACCTATGATTTGAAATCCAAAGCCCCAGATGATGCCTAGATGTGCTGGGTGACCACTTAAACTCATTGGGCTTCATCTCTTTATCCAGGAAATAGGACTTACAAAAATAACTCCACATAGTCTTTGCATAGAGTGGTGAAGAATTAGAAGGCTATGGTATTCAAATACAAGCTTTTATTCTAAAAATAACTACAAATGCCTGGATTTGTTTGTGTTTCATATGTACAAATCACGTAAGAGTGTTCTCTTCATAACGACTCCAAGTATGGGACAACATCTGGAAGAGACAAGTCAGTAGCAACCAGATCCAAGTTCAAGTGAACTCTTAACCCAAAGAGATGGATCATTTAGGAGCCCTATTTTACACGAAGGAACTCCCCACTCAGAGTGGCAAGGCATTTGTCTAAGATCTCATAGCAGAAGTGAAATTATGTCTACCTAATTCGGGTCCAGCTCAATTCATGACAACATCTTTCACCAGGACTGAAGACACCTAACCCAGGGCAGCCTAGGGGGTAAGCAAGAAGTGAGCTGTGCAGGACTCCCCTGTTGGACAGCGGCCTGCAGGCATTCTTGCAGTCATTCCATTCCATCCACAGGTCTTGAGTCAGGCTGTCCAGATGACAGGCTCTAGACCCAGTTCCATATTCATCTTTTTGCCCATCTGCCCTTATCCCCTGCCCTGTCACCTGCCAGCCAAATTGTACCATGAAGGCAGTGTCCAGAGCCCATTGGCTAGGGCCCTGTGCCTGCTACTAGGATCTCAGCACTGGTTTAATGGATGCATTCCACACAGAAGCCCGTCTTGGGTCTTCTTTGGGCTTTCTCTTCTGCACTAGAGGTTGATGCTGCTGAGTTTTGTGTTCCTCTGCCCAAACCACTCTGAAGCTCTCTCCACTTTAAAATGCCTGACCTTCTGGCCATAGAATTGCCAGCTCCCTAAGTACTGGACTTAGAGGCAACCTGGGCCCAGTCCTCCTTGACCACACAGAGGTGTCAACAGTGCCACTCTGGACTTCACTCTCCTCAGCAGGGAGATGTGAATGAACATCACAGCTGTTAAAAGGGTTGCTGGGTGTAAGAGTGGTATTGTAGAGAAGACTGGAAGATGTGGCTGAATTCAGAAAACATTCAGAAGATGTGACTGAATTGTATATCGCTTGTGGTGTGGCTGGATTCAGAAGACGTGGTTAAATTGTATATCCCTTGGGTCTGCAGACTCAGTGCTGACCCCTGGTGGTCAGTAGCCAGACAGAAGGCAAAACAGGTGGTACCTGACTGAAAGCATGAAACCATGGATTAAAGTAAACTTATTATTGTTATGTTATTGTTATTATCAGCAACAACAATTTTTATGTGCAGGAAGTCCATTCCAAATCAGAGTGACTTTAAAAGAGGATCTAGGATGCACACTGGATCATGTTCTAGGTGCTGGGGTCAGGGAGTCAAGTCTATGTTCCCTGTCCACAGAGCAGAGACTATTCCCTTCCCTAAACCTGTTCCTGACAGGGAGCAGCCTCTTCTCTGTGGCACAGGCACAGGGAAGAGCCCACTGTCGACTCAGGACACCTGGGTTCTCACCACTCACATGTGACAGTGGTTTCGAGTCAGCCATTGCCCTCTGTGAAGCACTAACCTGATCATAGGGAAAGCATCATGGCCTATGCACTCATCTGTCTCACCAGGGCCAGACTCTTGGTAGCACTGAACAGGACATGGATCTTCACTCTTACCCCAAGGCGCGATAATGGCATGAGCCTGGGATTACATGGTCACTACTGGGCGTGCACCCCTGTGCGGTCCAGGGCTCCTGCGCAGCTCGGTAGGCACCGCTAGGTGGCAGAGCAGCCCGAGGCAGGGAGGCACCTTGAAGGACGCTGCGACACTCAGGGCGCCCCGCACAAACCGCAAGCCCATGCAGAGATCGCACTGTCACCGAGGAGGCTCACACTCACCCATGTTGACGAAGCTCATGACCAGATCGGCGCGCCCGAGTCCCGGCTCCTGGAGCCCGTCGTCCTCGTCGTCGAGGTTCTGGTCGTCGTCGCCGGCCATGGCGTGGTAGAGATCCAGCATGAAGCGCGGCGCGGACGCGGGGGGCGCGCGGGGCCGGGGCCGGGGCCGTGCGTGCAGCCCGAGCACCGCCAGGATCTCCCGCTGAACCAGGCGCCGCTCGCTCGCGTCCAGCTCAAGCTGCTGATGGTCCGACTTGGGGTGCTGCTGGTTGGAGGCCCCGCCACCGAGCGCATACAGCGCCAGGACGAAGACCAAGAGCGGGCTGAGACGCGAGACCATGGCGTCAGGCTCGCCTCAGCAGGTTCGAATCCACTCCAGGCGTGAGTAGAAGGCTGTTGTCGCGCCGGGGAGCGTGCATGCGGTGCCCCACCTCTGAGGGGCTACCGCCGTGGTTGGGGACTGTGGGCTGGTCTGTCAGCGCGGGGTCAGCACGCAGGGCTGTGGATGAAACTCCTAGGGAGCGCGCAGGGGGCCGGGAGCCCTGGAGTCTGTACTTCAGCGCACTGTAGACAGCGGTCAGCGGCGTCCACACTCCTAGGTCCCGCGCTGCCGTGAGGCCCCGCCCCCTCCCTGCGAAGGACCAATAGGGGAGAGGGGCGTGCAGAACCAGACGTGCCCCGGGGCTCTGCGAGGGCTGGGGCGGGCGAGGTCCTGGAAGAATACCGGAGACTGGTGCTCCCTTGGAGACTCTACGACAATGGACTTGGGTGGGTGCTTCCGTCGGGGGGGAGGCACTGAACGCCCTCTTTAGAGGGATCACAGAGTCTCGTCCCTGACCACAGTGCCTTGTTCGCGGGCTGTGGCCTCAGAGCCCTCCTGTATCAAATGCTATGGGGCACCGAGGCTCTCAGGGGAGGCTCTCCATTGAAACGCCCCTCACTCAGCTCCCTGCTGCACACCTGGCTCTTCCCCAGGGCTCTCCCGCTTCCTATACTGGTGGTTGTTTTCCAGTCGACTGAGAATCATAAAGACCCTGTGAACAACATATCTGAACCCTGCCCTATCCTGTGCCATCCTCACCATCTGACACATGTGAGCTCATTGTTAGTCACCGTGTCAGTCCATCTCAGTGAGAATCTTCCACCTTTCCAAGCATGATGTCCTTCTGCAAGGAAGGGCACCTCTTGACAACATGCTCAAAGTATATGAGACAGAGTTTTGTCCTCCCCTCCATGGAGCAATCTGGTTTCACTTTCTCCTGGACAAGTTCTCTTGGCAGTCCATGGGATATTCGGTATTCTCCAATACCACAACTCAAAAGCATCGATTCTTCTGTCATCCTTTGTCATTGCACAACTTTCAGATGCATAACAAGCAATTGATAGGACTATGGCTTGGATTAGGTGCACCCTACTCTTTAAACAGACATCATTACTCTTTAGTACTCTGGAGAGGTCCCTGATAGCAGATTTCCACAATGCAATTCATCTTGTGATTTCTTGCCTGCTGTGACAAAGTAATATTCATATGCATATAGGGAAGACCTGTTAATGCCAGTATCAAAAATATGCACCAATATCTAGGACCAAAGAGGAGGAAATAGAAGATTTCTACCAACTTTTGCAGTCATAAATCTATTGAACATGCAACCAAGATCCATTAGTAATAATTGGTGAGTGGAATGCAAAAGGAAACAAAGAAGAAGGAGTAGTATTAGGAAAAATAGGGTCTTGATGATAAAAAAGAGGCTGGACATAGGATGATAATCTTTTGTACAATCATTGATATATTCATTGCAAATACCTTTTATTAAAAAAATACACAGAAAGTCCTCTCACACACATAGACGTCACTGGATGAACTACACAGGAATCAGATTGATAATATCTATGAAAAGAGTCTTTGGGGAAGTTCAATATAACCTGTGAAATCTAGGTGAGGTGCTGACAGTGGAGTGAATCATCAACTACTCACGTAAAAGTTCAAATTGAAGCTAAAGAAAATGAAAACAAAGCCACAAGAACCAAAACAATCTTGACTCTATTCCACTTGCATTTAAAAACCATCTCAAGAACAGGTTAAGGCCTTGAACACAAATGAATAAAGACCAGATGAGCTGTAGGATGACATCAAGAATATAATCCATGAAGAATGCTGAAGGTTATTACAAAGACAGAGGAACAAGAAAAGAACAAGATGGATGTCAGAAAAGTTCTGAATGTTGCACTAGTATGACAAGAAGTCAAAACAAAAGGAAGAAATCAGAAAGTTACAGTTGAACAGAAGATTTCAAAGGGAAGCTCGGGAAGACAAAACAAAGTATATAACAAAATGTGCAAAGAGCTGGAGTCAGAAAATCAAAAGGGAAAATATACTCAGCATTTCTTCAGCTGAAGGAAATAAAGAGCAGATTCAAGCCTCAAGTTGCAATACTTAAGGATGCTATGGGCAGAATATTAAATGACCCCCAGCTTCTTAAAAAAAGATAAGAAGAATACACACAGTCACTGTACCAAAAATTGACTGATACAGAGCTATTACAGGAAGTAGCATATGATCAAGAACCAATGGTAAAGGAGGAAGTTCAAGCTGTTCTGAAGGAATTGACAAAAAAATAAGACCACAGGAATTGAGATGATAACAATTGACATATTTTTTAAACTTTATTTTATTAATGTGTGTGTGTGTGTGTGTGTGTGTGTGTGTGTACCATTCATTAAATCAGATCTGACTGATACAGGAGGAAATGGTCCCTTCTCCAGCAGAGTATCTGGTGTATTTGAACCACACACCTCTGGGGATGTAGTGCAGCTTCTTGCCACTAGGCCACCAGAGCTCACCAACAATTGACATATTTTAACGAACAGATGCAGCCCTGAGTGTGTTTACCAGGCTGTGCCAAGAAATCTGGAGGACAGGTACCTGGCTGACTGACTGGAAGAGATCCATACTTATTCCCCAAAATGTGATCAGCAGAGTATAGAAATTATCAGATAATATCACATGCAAGTTAAATCTTGAGGAAGATTACAGAAAACCTACTAGTACAGTACATGGACAGAGAACTGCCAGAAATACAAGCTGGAATTAGAAGAGGTCATGGCACTAGGGATATCATTGCCAATGTCAGATAGGTCTTGGATAAAAGCAGAGAGTACCAGAAGAATGCCTATCTGTATTTTATTGATTATGTAAAGATATATGACTATGTGGATCACAAACAATTGTGGCTAACATTAAGAAGAATGGGAATCCCAGAACACTTGATTGTGCTCATGGGAACCCTATGTTGTTGTTGTTGTTGTTGTGTGCTGTCGAGTCGTTTGCAACTCATAGCGACCCTATGTACAAGAGCCCTAAAACCTGCTCTATCCTGTGCCAATCGCATTGTCTCTGGCACTCCCATCCCGATTACCCCAGTCACTGAATCAATCCACCTCATAGAGGGTCTTCCCCTCCTGCGCTGTCCCTCTACCCTACCAAGCATGATGTCCCTCTCCAAGGACCTGTCTCTCCTTACAACATGTCCAAAGTATGTCAGACGAAGCCCCAGAATCCTTGCCTCCAAAGAGTAGTCTGGTTTAATCCTCTCCAGGATGGATCTGTTTGTTTTCTTGGCAGTCCATGGAACATTCAAAACTCTTTTCCAGCACCACAGCTCAAAGGCATCAATTCTCCTTCTATCTTCCCTAGTCATTGTCCAACTCTCTGATGCATAACAAGTGATTGCAAAGACCATGGCCTGTATCAGGCGCACCTTAGTCTCCAGAGAGACACCGTTGTTGTTGAGTACTTTAGAGAGGTCCCTAACAGCAGACTTTCCCATCGCGATACATTTTTTTTATTTCCTGGCTGCTGGTGTCTAGATGAAAAAGCTGTTGTTCGAGCAAAGCAAAGCTCTTTTGTTAGAGCAAAGGAACACTGCATGGTTCAAAATGAAGAAAAGAGTGCATCAGGGATGTATTTTTTCCCCTCCATATCTTTTCAATCTATACGCAGAACAAATCATCTGGGAGGCTGGATATTATGAAGAAGAATGTGGCATCAGGATAGGAGAAATATTCACACAATCTACCTTATGCAGATGGCACAGCCTTGCTTGCCTAAAGTGAAGAAGACCTGAAGTGTTTGCTGCAGAAGGTCAAGGACTGCAATCTTCAATATGAATGACATCTCAATATCAAGATAACTAAGATTCTCACCACTGGGCCAGTCAGTAACATCATGATGGACAGAAAAAAGATTGAGATTGTTAACAATTTCCTTTTGCTCAGATCCACAACCAACACTCAGCACCAGCAGTCAAGAAATCAAAATAGGAGTTGATTTAGGAAAGTCGGCTACCAGGTAACTCTGCAGAGTGCTAAAGAGTAACAATGTCAATCTAGAGATTAAGGTCCTCCTCATCCAGGTCATGGTCTTCTCAGTTGTTGCTATGCATCTAAGAGCTGAACAATGACTCAAGATGACAGAAGAAGAATTGATGACTTTGAGTTGTAGTGCTGGAGAAGAGTCTTGAGCAAGCCATGGACCACCAAGAATACAAACAAGTCTGTCTTGGAGAGTGTGAAACCAAGTTTTGTCTTGGAGGCTAGGATTTTTAAGCTCCATCTCACATACTTTGAGCAAATGGCCAGGAAGAACCAGTCCTTGAAGAAGGACATCATGCTTGGAAGAGTGGAGGGATGGATACAGTGACTGGGGTAATGGGGATAGTGTGTCAGAGTCCATAAGACTGGCTAAAGACAGGGCAGGCTATAGAGCTGTTGTATATAAGGTTCAAAAAGAATTGACACTGAAACATTTCAGGAAGTACCCTATGAGCAAGAGTTAATGATAATAGAAGAAGTTCAAGCTGCACTGAACAGCAAAATATAAGGCCCCAGGAATTGATGGGGATGGAAGACCAACTGACATTTTTCAGCTAACAGATGCAGTCCTGGATGTGCTCACCAATCTATGCCAGGAAACTTGGAGTACAGCTTCTTGGCTGACTAACTGAAAGACATCTAGATTTGTACTAAATATCCCAAAGCTATTCACAAACTAGGTGATCCAACAAAATGTGAAAATTATTGAACAGTATTAGTAATATCACAAGCAAGCAAAATATTACTGAATATCTTCCTAAAATGGCTAGAACAGTACATTGCTAGAGAACTGCTGGAAGTTTAAGTTGGATTCAGGAGAGATCATAGTACCAGGGATATCACTGCAGATGTCAGATGAATCCTAACTGAAAGCAGAGAATACCAGAAAATAAAATGTCTATTTGTATTTTATTGACTAGGCAAAGGCATTTGACTGTGTGAATCATAACAACTATGGCTAACATTGAG